TGTTTATGGGATGTTATTTACTGGAACACAGGCTACTTTTCAGTTGGTACACCACTCAAGAAAGGAACCTCTTCCTCGAGCAGCCATTAACTACAAGTTCCTCAGGAAGGTTTTGGGGCCTTATGTGCCCCTCCCTCTACCATGATGAGCCATTACGAAGCCCAGTCTTGTGCAGGTAACCACGACTGCTGTGTGATCATGAAGCAATATCCTTGTCACATCCTGAAGACATCTTTCTGCTACACACCACCTGATTCTCTAGCTCTTACTTCTTCCCACCCTCTCTTCCACAGTGTTCCCTGAGCCTTGGAGGGGGTGATATTGATGTCCCATATGGACTGAGAGCTTTACCATCATGTATTGTTGGCACTTTCACCATTATGAGCCTCTGGATTAACCATTTTCTGAAGCTATAAGAAGGTTCTTTGAAAAAGGCTGAGAATAGTACTAATGTATGGGTATATTCACATACTCACAGGTACATACCCACACACATACACATGATTGAAAATGAAATAGGGGGTGGATAGATAGCTCAGCAGTTAAGAGCACTGGCTGCTCTTGTATAGGATTGGGATTCAATTCCCAGCACCCACATAGCAGCTAACAACTGCCATAACTCCAAGGGCATTGCACAACACTGGTACACTTACATGCATGCAAGCAATATACTCACACACATAAAATAAAATACACTCATACACATAAAATACACTCACATATAAAATAAAAATTTTTAAATAATTTTTAAAAAATGGGGCTGGAGAGATGGCTCAGTGGTTTAGAATACTGGTTGCTCTTGCAGAGGACCTAGGTTTGATACCTAGCCCTCTTCTGACCTCCAGGGCACTGCATGGCACAGGTGCATTTACATACAGGCATGACACTCATACACATAAAATTAAAAGTTTTTTTAAAAATTAAAAAAAAAAAAAGAAAGATGAGGAGGCCAGGCGTGGTGGTGCACGCCTTTAATCCCAGCTCTAGGGAGGCAGAGGCAGGCAGATCTCTGTGAGTTTGAAGCCAGCCTGGTCTACGGAGTGAGTTCAAGGGCAGCCAGAGCTACTTAGTGAGGTACTGTCCATAAAACAAAACAATAAAATGAAAAGATGTAGTTTGCTTCAGAGCATGGGAGAAAAGAAGGAAACTTTGCAAATTTATTATATAATGCCCAAATGTACTAGAAATTATAGACTAGTTTCATTAATAATTGTCATGCTGGAATCCTAAATAAAAACATTAGCAGGTAAAATCGCACACATAAGAGTACAGCACAACCATTCTTACATTCCTGAAGAAACAAAAGTCTTGGAACTCACCTGTGTAAACCATTTGGGTCTGGCATATTTACAGAACATTCCCCTGGAAAATATTCTCAATTTCTTTCAGAGATATTGGCATCAAATCAAAAGCCATAAAAATCATGCTTCATGTTGAAGCAGCAGTGTTTTATAAGTAGAGACAAGATAAGAGAATCCAGTGCTGCTCCACTTCATACCGTTTTAGAAGAACTGCCAATCAGACAAACTAGAATGAGCTAAGATAAATAAGTATTGCAAAGGAGGAGGTAAAATAGTTATGACTGTGTGCTGGGAAAACTCATGAAAAAGAGTGAGAAACTATAGTGGAAGTTAGTTAGCCTGGTTATTGGATACAGAATTTATATTAAGTAGTTTTTGTTTGTTTTATTGTTTGAGACAGTTTTACTATGTAGCCCCAGACTGGCCTGAAACTCAGGTCCCTCCATCTTAGGCCTTCCAAATGCTGGAATTGCAGGTGAGTACTACCATTAACACTAAAACAAATGTCCAACAATGAAGACTAAAACAACAAAGGTCCTGTTTTTCTGTTTAATATTTCAACAAACATTTTTTGAATGCCCATATAAATAATACCTTTTAGAAAATGTAATGGAAGAAGACATCTATTCATTATGATTGAAAACTAGTAAAATGCCAGGAGAAAAAAATAAGAATTATGTTAGCTTTATTTTTAGAAGGCTCGATTCAGTCTCGAATAACCTGACTTTGGGGATTTAAATTTAGATTGAGGGGCTGGAAAGATGACTCAGTGGTTAAGAATACTTGCTGTTCTTCCATAGGACCTGGGTTGAAGTGACAAATGTGCTGTGCCCATTTCATGACCCAGAAATTCGAGAAGGGTGCTCTGTGGGTCACATATTGCTAATCAACTCGTGCAATGCAAACAGTCCTGTCTGTGTATTTAGCATTTTGTTTTCTCCTTGCTTTGATGATGTGAAATCCATACTCTGCCAGGTACATGGAATTGTGCCAAGCCTAATGAGGATTTACCAAGCTTAACCAGGCTAGATAATACTGATAGCCAGCCATGCAGCATTTGGCACTATCTTTTGAGAGAGATTCCTTTACTATATATACAAAAGCAGTTTCTCTAGTTCTGCAGTACATTTCTGGTTAACTATTAATTTACATGTTTTGTTTGTTTTTTTTTAGAATGGGGGGGGTGGTCTTTTTAAGTTAGGCGCTCTCTGTAGCCCCAGCTGACCTGGAACTCTTTGTAGACCAGGCGGGCTGTCCTTGAACTCACAGAGATCTGCCTGCCTCTGCCTCCTGAACACTGGGACTAAAGGAGTGTGCCACCACAGCCTACTTTTTAGATTTTTTTTTAAATTTATTTTTATTTTATGTCTATGAGTGGTATGCCTGCATAACAGGTACAGGTGTAAGTGCACCTGTTCATGCAGTGCCCAAGGAGGACAGAAAAGGGCATTTGATCCCCTGGAACTGGAATTACAGGTGATTGTTAGCTGCCATCTGGGTGCTGGGATTTGAATTGGATCTTCTGCAAGAACAGCCAGTTCTCTCAGTCGCTGAGCCAGTCCTTGCTTTGGCTTTTTGGTTGTTTTCATAAACTTCTGGTTCTTTGGTTCCAGTTGGTTTTTTATCTAAGATGTAAATATTTTTCTTGAATCATTCTACATATGCACTATACCTCTTACAGAGAATCAATTTCTGATACAGTATGGAAGTAACAAGTAGTTTCTTTCCACTCTTCACATTAGGCTACTTTTATGAAGAATTGAAATGTTAAGAGGAATAAACACAACTAAAAACATTGTATTCCAGTGTTCATGTTAGTGCCTTTGACACATTTTATATTTCTTTAACTAAGGCTTCTGGACACACTCTCCAGAGACGATGACACATTAAGGAGAGGGTGAAACTGAAATGGAATAGCTGCTAGAGAAATGAGTGGGTTAGTGGTTTAGTAAATTTACCATCTTAACCATTTGTGGGGGGTGTTTAAACAGGTTGTCACTATATAGTATCACCTGGCCTGGAACGCCGCTATGTAGACCAGGCTGGCCTCAAACTCAAAAGATCTACCTGCTTCTGCATCTTGAGTGTGGGGATTAAAGGTGTGTGTTGCCACACCTGGCCCCATCTTAACCATTCTTTGATTTGTTTTGGTTTTGGGTTTTTGGGTTTTTTTTTAATGTGTACGAGTGTAGTGCCTGCATGTATGTGAGTGCACCCGTGTCTTGCAATGCCTCAGAGGTTAGAAGAGGGCTTCAGATTCCCCTGGATGGTTCGTAGCCGCCATGTGGGTGCTGGGAATCAAACCCAGGTCCTCTGTAAGAGCAGTCAGTGCTCTTAACCACTGAGCCATCTCTCCAGCCCCTGTTTTGGTATTTTTAAGATGGGGTCTCCCTGTTGCCCCAGCTGGCCTGGAACTTGCCATGTGTACAAGGCTGGCTTAGATTTCATTGAGATCTACCTGCCTCTGCCTCCCAAGTGCTGGTATTAAAGGTGCATGCCACTGCATCCAGCTCCTGTCTTTCTTCTTTTTCTAAATTTTTCTGTATTTTTATTTAAAGTGTATGTGTATTGCCTGCATATGTGTAAGTACATCTGTGTCTGTGCAGTGCCTGAGGAAGTCAGAAGAGGCTGCCAGATTCCCCTGGAACTGGAGTTACAGGCGGTTGCTTGCTGCCATGTGAGTGCTGGGAATTGAACCCTGGTCCTCTGCAAAAGCAGTCAGTACTCTTAACCATTGAGCCATCTCTCCAGCCCCCCAGCTCCTATCTTAACCATTCTTAAGATTGCAGTTTAGGAGGCTGGAGAGATGGCTCAGCAGTTAAGAGCACAGACAGCTCTTTTGAAGGACTTCGGTTCAGTTCCCAGCACCCACATGGCTGTAACTCCAGTTTCTAGAGACCCAACGCCCTCTCCTGGCCTCTGTGGGCATTGCATACGCAGGTGCACCAACATGCATGCATGGCAAAACATTCATACACATAAAATAAAAATAAATAAATTTTAAACAATACAATTTAATACTGTTAATTATATTCACATTGTTATGTAATAGATCTCAACTTTTTATCTGGCAGCACTGAATCTCTGTACCCAGTAAACACTAACTTCCTTTCCTCCTTGTCCTTGGGGATCAACTTTCTACTTTTTCATTCTATGATTGTGGCTACTCTAAATACTTTGTATAGGGAGAATCATAAGGTATTTGTTCTTTTGTGGCTAACTAGGTTATCTTTTTTTCTTTTTTTTTTTCTTCTGTGATACTGAAGGTCGAATTTTGCTCATACTAAGCAGGAGTTCCACCACTGAGCTTCACCTCCAGCCCAGTCACTTGTATATTAAGTGTCATCAATATTGGTCCTAACACCTTCCAAAGTGACTATGAGAGTTTGTCAAAATAAATTATGAGAACAGTTGTTGTAAGTTATAAAGGATAACCAGTTGTTACATGGGACCATAATTAAGCTACTCAGAAAGGCAACAAAGAAAATTCATTGGGGAAAGTACAAATAAAAGGGAGCTTCATAGTTCCGTGTATTTCTGTCATCTGTAACACCAGCTTGGTGCCAAGAGGTTATGACCTCAACCTGAATTAACTCCTAGAGGATATTGTGATGAACTCACTGAAATGATTATTTTAAATTATGTTATCTTCCTTATCCATTTATTTGTGTACAATCAGAATATTTTATTTCCTTACAGACTTTGCATTGTCCATTGAATGAAGAGGTAATTGCTCAAGCCAGGAAGATTTTCCCTTCAGTGATAAAATACATTGTGGAAATGACTATATGGGAAGAAGAAAAAGAACTGCCTCCTGAACTGCAGCCAAGGTGTGAAGATGTCAAAAGGGAGAGCTTGGGCTGACAAAAAGTGTTGGATAGTTTTGTTTTGTTTTGTTTTGTCTTTTTGAGACAGGGTCTCCCTGTAGGCCCAGCTGTCCTGGAACTCAATATGTAGACCAGGCTGGACTTGAACTTACAAAGATCTGCCTGCCTCTGCCTCCCAAGAGCTGGGATTAAA